GCGCCACCATGCCCAGCTAATTTTTTGTATTTTTAGTAGAGACGGGGTTTCACCATGTTGACCAGGATGGTCTCGATCTCTTGACCTCGTGATCCCACCCGCCTCGGCCTCCCAAAGTGCTGGGATTACAGGCGTGAGCCACCGCGCCCGGCCAACTAAAGGTTTCTTAATGACAAGCCCTAAACCCTCAAGTCTCTACCACACTTACATTTAGTGTAGATGTGTCTGATGTTTGGAAAATTAACAATACTTCAAAATATAATGCAGCCACCCTGTTAAGACATGAATCAGTAGGATTTCAAAGTTTTCTAGCTTTCTTAAGCTGACATTTTGCTTTAACATGCCTCTTTATTTTGTACTCCAAGATGATGTTTTTATATTGGGGCAAAGCTTCATCCCAAAATGTAATCTTGTCACAAGTTTTAATATTTCTGGTTCTCTACTTCACAGGGTCAACTAAAGAATTTGTTTTTGTATTTTTGAGACACAGTCTTGCTCTGTTGCCCAGGCTGGAGTGCAGTGGTGCGATCTCGGCTCATTGTAACCTCTCCCTCCCAGGTTTGAGTGATTCTCCTGCCTCAGCCTCCTGAGTAGCTGGGATTACAGGCACCCACCACCACGCTGGGCTAATTTTTGTATTTTTAGTAGAGATGGGGTTTTACTATCATGTTGGCCAGGCTGGTCTTAAACTCCTGACCTCAGGTCATCTGTCTGCCTCAACCTCCTAAATTCCTGGGATTACAGGTGTGAGCCACCATGCCCTGGCCACAGGATTTGGTTTTAAAAGCCAAACAAAGGGTTTAAAAGCCAAGGTGAAAATATCAGTAAGAAACAAGAATAAACAACCAAGGTAATAATTCTTCATATAATGCTGTCAATCTTTAAATATTTCACCAATCCAGAAACCTAAATTGGTATTTTTTTTACACCTCATACTTCTAGTGAAGTTTTGGAAGCCTTTTGCTAATTTACGTCATGTAGGCACCTTAAAAGCTGAGATCAATTGTATAATATAAAAACAAACAACACACCTGATGCCAGCTTGAAAATATAGATTGAGTTCCTTTATCTGAAAGACTTGGGACCAGAAGTGTTTCAGATTTTTTTCTTCTTCAAATTTTGGAATATTTACATATACATAGTGAGGTATCTTGGGGATGCCACCCAAGTCTAAACACAAAATTCATTTATGTTTATTTTTTTCCTTTTTTTGAGACAGAGTCTTGCTCTCTCTGCAGGCTGGAATGCAGTGGTACGATCTCAGCTCACTGCAATCTCTGACTCCCTGGTTCAAGTGATTCTCCTGCCTCAGCCTCTCAAGTAGCTGGGATTACATGCACATGCCACCATGCCCACTTAATTTTTGTATTTTTAGCAGAGACGGGGTTTTACCATGTTGGCCAGGATGATCTCGATCTCCTGACCTTGTGATCTGCCCACCTCGGACTCCCAAAGTGCTGGGATTATAGGCATGAGCCACTGTGCCCAGCCTTACGTTTCTTTTTTTTTTTTTTTTGAGACTGAGAGACCAAGTCTCACTCCGTCACCTGGGCTGGAGTGCAGAAACACAATCTTGGTTCACTGCAACCTCCGCCTCCTGGGTTTAAGCAATTCTCATGTCTCAGCCTCCTGAGTAGCTGGGATTACAGGCACACACCCCAACGCCCAGCTAATTTTTTTTTTTTTTTTGAGACAGAGTCTCACTCTGTCACCCAGACTGAAGTGCGGTGCTATGATCTCAGCTTACTGCAAGCCATTCTCCTGCCTCATCCTCCCAAGTAGCTACTATTACAGGTAGCTGCCACCATACATTTTTAGTGGAGATGGGGTTTTACCATGTTGGACAGGCTGGTCTCGAACTCCTGACCTCAGGTGATTTGCCCACCTTGGCCTCCCAAAGTGCTGGGATTACAGGTGTGAGCCACTGCTTCCAGCCCAATTTTTGTGTTTTTAGTAGAGATGGGGTGTCACCATGTTGCCCAGGCTGGTCTCAAACTCCTGGGCTCAAGTGATCCACCCGCCTTGGCCTCCCAAAGTGCTGAGATTACAGACATGAGCCACCATGCCCGGCTTCATTTGTTTCATATTCACCTTATACACGTAGACTGAAGGTAATTTTATACAATATTTTAAATAATTTTGTGCATGATACGAAGTTTTAACTGCAACTCCTCATGACATAAGGTGTAAAATTTTCCACTTGTGGCATCATGGTGGCACTCAAAAAGTTTTAGACTTTGGATTTTCAGATTAGACATACTCAACCTGTATAAGCCAGTTACCAAAGTGGCATATTTGGATAGTGTATTCTTTCATATTTTCGTAAGAAAAATGGATGAATTCAACCAATAGTCATCATTCCATACACTTATAAGCAAAGTTATATGAACACACCAGCATAATGGCTGAAATCTCACATTTGAGGTGTTTACCTTGTTAACTTCATTTGCCTTTCTCTAAATCCTCATTATTTAGAGAATAAAACTCATTGGTAAGATTTTAAGACTTTTCTCCATCCCTTATACAACAGTGTGATAAATCTTAAAAAAAAAAAAAAAAAAAAAAAGAGCTTTTGTTCCATGAGAAATTCTACTTTGAGAACCATTAAAAATTCTAACCAAACTTGCCTTATATCAAACTTACAAATAATAAGAATAAATTCAGAAATTATTAAAAAAAAAAAATAACTGGAAAGATACAGAAGCCAAATCGGCACTCCGTGTTTATCACTTGCGTGCCCAACAACAGGCCTGGAAATGTCACTTCCCTGGCAGTCCGATGTTATTGCACAATGTCATGGAAGCACAATCCTGTAAAACATGGTTCAGAGGAGCTCGACAGCTGGCCTTCCCATACAAAAATCCATAAATCACCCAAGAAGTGATTTGCTACTGACAGCACACTGTCTCTTTGAAATTCTTTACCATATATGTAGTGTTCTTAACATATTTGAGTGAAAGGATGGGAAAAAAAACATTAAATATTTACTGTTAGAATTTTTGTAGAGGTACATTTCTAAGCATATCTGTATAGAACTTTCATTTATAAATTGTTTTTATATGCCCTATCCACCAACATTTCCTTGTTAAATTCTATTTCCCACTAAAAGACTAGAAAATGCCATGCAAGAGTTAGGAAAAGGAGGCCGGGAGCGGTGGCTCATGCCTATAAACCCAGCACTTTGGGAGGCTGAGGTGGGTGGATCACGAGGTCAAGAGATCGAGACCATCCTGGTCAACATGGTGAAACCCCGTCTCTACCAAAAATACAAAAATTAGCTGGGCATGGTGGCATGCGCCTGTAGTCCCACCTACTCAGAGGCTGAGGCAGGAGAATTGCTTGAACCCAGGAGGCGACGGTTGCGGTGAGCCGAGATCATGCCATTGCACTCCAGCCTGGGTAACAAGAGCAAAACTCCGTCTCAAAAAAAAAGGAAAAGGAAACATACAAAATATACATTCTACTAGAACCTTTTATGCTAACCCCCCAAAGAAAACTCCACATACTAAAGTATTTTACACATATGAATGTAAATTTTGCTATGTAGTCATCAAGCTTTACTATACTGTGGCTCTATCAATATAAAAAAAAAAAAATCACAAAAGACAGGTAAGAATTCTAATAAGAACAATATGTTTTGACAAAACAAAGTAAAGACATGAAGCTAATTAGTTATTCAGATGGAATGAAGATCAAATGTATCATTTTAATAAGAAAAATAAAACTCTTCCATTCAACAGTGTGTTTACCTTATTATTTATCTGATTTTCAACTGTTAACCTAACTTGTATAGTGAAAAGAATAATGGATAATTGTAAAAACAAACATGATAAATATCTTACCATATACTCCTTTGTCTAAAAGGAGTAAAAACTCATCCACGGCATTACGCATCTCATATTCAGTAAGATCTAACAGTGAAACGACTTTGAAGTCCAGTTGTCTCAGTAAGTTAGTTAATTCATACACATCCACCAAAGGAGCTTTGAGCTTGGGGTGCTCCCAGTAATTCATATTTCCTATCAAAAGGGCAACCTTGTCCTTTGCTTTGGGAGAAAAAAAAAAAAAAGAGGATGTTTAAAGAAGATACAAAGATTAAAATACAACCTATGGAAATGGTATTATACTAGAAAAATATGCTTTAAGATTGCATTATTTCATTTCAAGTAAGATTTCATTATTCAATTTCATTTTAGAACTACTTATATAGCAGACCAATATTCTCTGAGGAACAAAGAGGCTAAAAACATCAAACTGAAATTTTGGAGAAAACTTAAGGAGTATTTGAAATTGGGTTTCCATCAAGTTAGGTTCTGTTTTGCTGAGAATGAAACAGGCTAAAAACCAGATAAATAGCTAAAAAAGGGACAGGAAGAATTCACATCAGAGTGAATGAGGGGAAATACCAAAGAGAGAGAGGAGTTGGCGAGTACTGTATTCTTGGTTTCTGCAGTCGCCATGTGGATGTACTACTGTCTCCTCTTAGCATCTTTTTAAAATACTCCCCATTTGACTCAGATGAGGCTATTTCAAGGGTATGTGAAGATTTTGTGTACAAGTACCTTAAAAGTTCATTTTTTTTAACAATGCACTGAGACTTTGCTCAAAGATAATGTATTCTGACAGAAACAATTTTTTTTTTGTTCGTAAGAGGAAATAAAGATCTACACTTATGCCTTAAAGAGGAGCACCTAGCTTAACCAGGTATGTAGCCCATCTAAAACAGTGTGGAAGGCTGGACACAGCTTAGTGCTTATGAGGTCTTCAACACTGTGCCTTTCTTTGATAGTCTAAAATGGGGTCAACGGTTAAAAACTCAAGACCTGCTGGTATGAAAGAGAGGAAAAACAATTAAAATATTAAAAAACACACACACCCCCCCAAACCTCAAGACCATCAATGACAATAAGAGGCCATGATGGCTTTTTTCTGGAGGGCTGACAGTGAGGCGTGTGTAGCACCTGTCATGGTAGGCAGCAGTGATGGGAATGCCAGGGAGCAGACAGATAGGGTGACGAGAGTACCTGCAGCACCAGCCAACTGGCTGAAGAGCTGCCTGGGTAGAACTGCAGGCTACCCCCTCTGACTCAGGCCAACCCCTGCCACAAAGTGCTGCTAAGTAGTTTTATTGTAAGTTATTATGAACACTTATGAAGTTGAAACAGGCAAGAATAATCACATTGCTGACGATGTATACAGTATATAATTTCAGATGTTTCATATCATTGAGATGATTACTTCACCAAAAATCTCTTTGGTGTAATTTCTTTTCTTTCTATAGAACACTTAAACCTAGTGTTAAAAACCAGCATCAACTTAGAAGAATGTGACTCTTTCAAAGGACAAAAAACTCTACTTTGTTAAAAGCCTCAATAATTTTACATCATGTCATCTTTATTCTATATGAACATATTCAGAAATTTCTAGCAAACTGCCCAGTCTTATGACTATACACAAAAGTGAAATGATACTTAAGCCACATTTTTAATTCATTGGAAAAGCTGAGAATACTCAGCATGGATTTCAATAGGAAGCAGCGTAAAACTTAACATCACTTGTATTTCTTTTCTAAAGTTTCTTTTAAAATAAAATAGTATTCTTACACTGAAATACCCACTATAGCAAGACTGTTAGCCGGCTATTCCATAGCACATTTTTCGTGAGTCCATCAGCGCTATTAGAATCCAGACACAACCTCAACAGAGTGACAGAATCAGATCAATCTTCTGAAGGGGAAATGAGAAAACGCATTGTCTCTGGTTTACATCATTATAGCCCAAATCACAGGTTTACAGCAAGAGGTTACCAAAGTTACTGAGATGGTAAAATGCTTGTAAATCATTCCATTTTTTCCATTAATTATATACATCATAGATTCTTATTGGTAGAAAACAACTATAAGTATATAAGAAAAGAAATCACTGGGTCTTTAGGAAAATAAAATTAACTGCCAAACTAAGCATCATGGGATGTTTTTGCTGCTATCAAATCTTTATTCACTGGTTTTGTTATCTATTTGGGAAAGAACACTTGGTACAGTTTACAGAATGGAAGGGTTCAACAATTTGTCAACTACAGGTCTTAAAATATATGTATTGATAACTGTCCATAACACTTCTAAAATTTTTCTCCAATGATAATTTTTAATAGCTAGTTCCTAAGATGTCTTAGAGCATTTCCTTGACTTTAATGGTGAAAAGATGGTGAGTCAGTCAGTCTTACCTGTACAATCTACTTGATAAACAATTCCTGGGTGATGGGTGAACTGGGGTAGATGTAAGATCGAGAAGTAGTAGAAAGGCAGAGGAAAAATCAGACTTCAAAGACACGACACAGAAACAAACAAAACTTGAATTTGAGGAGGTAAGAGTGAGAAATAAAAAAAGCTTCAAGACAGCAAATATAAAGCAATTTGTAATGGTTATCAAGTGATAACATAAATGAAAGTTTTTCTGTAGAAAAACGTTTACTGTAAGAACCACCTACAACTTCTTGAACAAAATCATTTGTTGAAAAAATGAAACAAAAATGCCAGTGGATTAAGCAAGAGAGTAATGAAGCCACTTCAGAAAGACATTTTAACTCATGATCCTCAACATCTTCCAAAGCTTAAGGTAATATATTCTTCAAAAACTGGTACAGTATTATATCATTAATCCCGTGTCTAATAATTCTAATTATTATACTAATCTAAAATGAGTTAATATTTAGAAGCACCTAGAAAAGGACCTGGCATGTGGTAAATGCTATTAAGTATGTGTTCTAAAAATCTCATGTATTGAATCTCTTAGTGGCTCTCCATGTCCTACAAAATCAAGTCCCAGTCTGTTGGTGTGGGTGAGGAACAGATAGCTGGGTATTGCTGGAAGGTAGAGGACTAGGGAAGCAGTGGCTGGGGGTTAGACTGCTGATGTAGTTGGGCATCCAAGGCCATTCACATTCTACTCCATGCCGACCTTTCCAGCTGTGGTAACAGGTGGCCCCCACAGTATTCTTGCCCTTGTGTAGTACAGTCACCCCCATCTGTGAATGTGGGCTGTATTGTGACTTTCTTTGAGCAACATAAGATGTGTGACACTCTGCCAGTTCAGGGTCTAAATAAGAATCTCTGACAGTTTCCACTTTAGAGATCCAGCCACGACATAGAGAAAGCAGCTACATGGAGAGACCACTCAGGAAGGGAGAAGGAACTGAGGGAAAGAGGGAGAGAGAAAGGAAGAGAAAGAAGTTTGTGGGGGTGGGAGGGGAGGGGAGGACACAGAGACAGACAGACAAGGGGGGGGGGAGAGAGAGAGAGAGGAAGGGAGAGAGAGAGAAATTTTTCATAGTCTTCACAGTTTTTCACCAATCCCCACTAAGGTGCCAGGGATGTAAGCGAAGCCATCTTGAATGCTGCAGTCCCAGCCACATCTGACTGCAACTGTGTAAGAGACCTCAAGAAAGAGCAGCAGAACCACCACCTGCTAAACCCAGTCCAACCCACAGAACCAAGAGAGATAATAAAACTGATGCTGTTCTTAAGCTAGTAAATTTTGCAATGTTATTCAGCAATAGATAACTACATTACTATTACAGCTCCTTCCCTATTTTCTACCTTCCAGCAATACTGAACTATTTGCTCCTCACACGCACCATCTATTTCATGCCTCCATCCTCACCATGTCTTCACCCTTTTTACCATCTCCTTCATTTCTGAATGAACACTCATCCTAACTGCCTTAAACACGCATTTTCATTTTATCCCCTTGAGATCTCCCAATTCATCCCTGAAAATCCTCACCTTCACTTTGCCTCTTAGGTAAACTGACTCTGCTAGACTAATCTCATCACCATCTTCCATGAACAATTTCTAGATTCTTTACATATTTCTACCAGGCATGTATCATGTACTGTATTATTTAATGTCCATCTCCTGTTAGTATCCCAAGGCCTTGAATTCACAAACCAAGGCTTGTTCTCTTACTTCAGTAAGCAGTGGTCCCCAGCCTTTCTGGCACACCAGGGACCAGTTCTGTGGAAGACAATTTTTCCATGAACGGTGTCAGGGGAGGGGTGCTTTTGAGATGAAATTGTTCCATCTCAGATCATCAGGCATTAGTTAGATTCTCCTGAAGAGTGCACAACAGGTTTCACGCTCCTATGAGAATCAGCTGCTGATCTGACAGGAGGCAGAGCTCGGGCAGTAATGTTTGCTCACTTGCCTCCTGCTCTGTGTCTTGGTCCTAACAGGCCATAGCCCCGTAGTGGTCCACAGCCTGGGGGTGGGGAATGCCTGTCATAAAGCACAGATGAAACATTAGATAAATGTTTGGTGGACTTCAATGATGGAAGTTGACCTGATATTCCATTTATCTTGTTATTCTTTCAATTGGGACGTGTTTGAGAAAGAATACCTGGCATAATGGAGCTAACAAAAGCTCTGGAATGAGAGACACCTGGTTTTCAATCCTGTCTCAACTACTAAATTATAAGATCCTGAACAAATTTTATTAAACAGTTTTAAATTTTCATCTACTAAAAATGAGGAAAGATATCTACAACTCAGGGTTAAATTATACATTTTTCTAGGTGAAAACAGTTTATTAATATTACTACTAAATGCATACTTGTGATTAAACCATCTTCAACAACTAATCCAGTTACATTTGAATCTTTCATTCTGTGTACCTAAGACATATGTATGCTTCTCACTACCGAATACGATGACTATGCCTTTGTTCAGAACACTATTTTGGTAGGTATTTCTTAATCAGTGAGGTCTGGAGATCTAAAGAAAAGATCATGAAGCTGGAATACATGAAAACTTACCACTATGAATAAAACTTAGAAGTCTTTTTTTTTTTTTTTTTTTAGACAGAGTCTTGCTCTGTTGTCCAAGCTGGAGTGCAGTGGTGTGATCTCTGCTCACCAGAACTGCCGCCTCCCGGGTTTAAGCAATTCCCCTGCCTCAGCCTCCGGAGTAGGTGGGAGTACAGCTGCGTGCCACCACACGTGGCTAATTTTTTTTCTGTTTTTAGTAGAGTCAGGGTTTCACCATATTGGCCAGGCTTGTCTCAAACTCCTCACCTCAGGTGATCCACCCCCTTAGGCCTCCCAAAGTGTTGGGATTGCAGGCGTGAGCCACTGCACCTGGACCTCATAGCAGGTTTTTTAAGGTGGTAATTCACAGTCCCTTGTCCTCATCAACATCAAGCACCTTCCCCTTCAGTGCCTCCTGATTCCAAGAACATGGCTTGGACTTTGCATCAACCTAAGCTGCTCCACCTCTGAAAACTAAAATAATGTATTTCCTTTCTGTAATCATAACAACTTCCTATGCTTTTAACAGATTTGCCCTCTACTACTCGTTCTACTACTCTTCTAACTTGGTGAACTTTAAAAATCTGACTCCTTCATTTTCTCCTAGTTTATTAACTTTTTCAAGGCTTTTTTTTATTTTTTGGAGACAAGGTCTCACTCTGTTCACGCAGGCTGGAGTGCAGTGGCATGATCTTGGCTCACTGCAACTTTGCCTCCTGGGTTCAAGTGAGTGTCATGTCTCAGCTTCCCAAGTAGCTGGGATTATAGGCGTGTACCACTACGCCCAGCCCATCTTCTCTATTTTAAAGCTGAATTCTGCTAAAAAACAAAACAAAACAAAAAACACATGCAACTGATCTAAATCATTATAAATTCTTAATTTTTAAAAGTCTCAGTTGGACTCTCTCAATACACATTCACTTGTAGATCAGACTGGTCAACCTTGCTTCCATTTTCTTCAGCTTCTAAGCCTCTTCCATGGCGTAAGTTCTATATTAAACCTTACTCTTTTTTCCTCACTCTTTTAAGCATATTACTATGCCTAATTACCTAGAAACAAAAGCCATAGACTAAAAATGTCTTCAGCTTTCCAATAAATCTATTTGTTCACCAATCTCTTTCTAATCTCAAAAGAGGTTTCAACATTCTGCTTAAAGACTTCTCTTGTTTTCAACCTTGGCCCAAATCCCTACCATCTCTTCCAGGAACTTGCTCTATAAATTGTCCTCTTTTGATGGATCACTCTAACCTACAGTCTCAACAGATACTTCCTTTTCAAATGTAAATATCCTCACGTTTTCCCCTCCTACTAAAACACTTTGAATACATACCCTATCTAATTAATTTCAAATCACCCTTTCTTTCCAACAAATTAACATGTACTGTCTTCATTTACTCACTTCTAAATCATTCTTTTTCCAGTATTTTATACATTGTATCCATGTTTAAATTCCCAGCATAACTCCATACTGACACATATTAGGCCTTTCAACACTTCACTCAAAGCCAACAATCACTTCTTCAGTAGCTGAATTCAATGGACAAATATTAGACATATTTTATCTGGCTTCTGCCACCATCAAGATGTTAGCTATTTTTATCATCTTTAAATGTTAATCTGTTAAACTTTCATCGCTAAAGTTTTCTCCCTTACGTTTTCTTGTCTCAGGCATTCCTTAAATGCAACTGTTCATTTACATTTTATTCTAAATTCTTTTCTCTTCCCTTTGGAGAAGATAGGGAAGCAAACTCTAAAGCTACTGCAGCCCTTGTGATTTCTATCTCTTACCAAGAAATAGCACCAACCACTTCTTCCTCTATGCTAACCACGTGGCATGTACAGGTTTCTTTTTGTACGCATGTTTGCATGTTGTAAGAAACACACAAATCACTCCATAGAAGTTGACTTGACCCTAGAAACTGAATTTGTAATCATTTTAAAGCCTTCTCTTCTAAACCTTTTACAGATACAAAAGATAAAACATTTGGTCCCAATGTTATTTGAATATTTGTTTAAAAAAATCAAATGAAAATGTCTTAAATTCCTTCTGGAGTTAAACACAATAATTATACTATGATCATGCATTTTAAAGCTCTACTCACCCAAAGGCTGGTCAGTTGTTTGCTCTTTATTATCTATACAAAGATAAAAAAGCAAAATATGTAAGATGCTATTGTCCATGGTATAAATATTTCCAGAGTTAAAGATATATGAAAAGTATATAATATCAGTAGCATTGTTTACAGAATATAGTTTCTAACCTTCAAATTTTTAATAAAAACACTCTTGAATGGAAAAAATTGATGGTGGTGTTCACAATAAGACGTAGCAGTAGTTACCATTTCCTGATGCCTTAGCTGGTACTGTTCTACATGCTTTATAAATAACAGACCTAATGAAACCTCACTCTACCCTATGAGGTGCATACTATTATTAACCCCATTATATATATATAGGGAAATTAAGGCAGAGAGAGATTAAAGTCACTTGGCCAAAGTTATCAAGCTAGTAAGCAGCAAATCTGGATACTAACTTAGGGAGTCTTATTCTGGATTCTACGCTTTCACCATCTACTATACATAAAATAAGATCCCTCCCCCGACCTAGAGCACCAAGTAGGGAAAGATGTATCATCAGTTGTGTGTCCACTACTGTTGAGAGATAACTTTGTACTTTTGGTAAAATAAATGCCACTGAGGTCTGTTAAAAGCTTTCCCTCTACAACATTCTTCTTTTAAATCTAAACTTTGGATACTTCCTGAATTGTGGGAAATAAGGAGAAAATCAAAGAAAGGGCCATGGAAATTTTAGAATCTTAGTGGTGGCTATTTACAAAAGTTTTTCTGAAATGACTTTTCATAACGTTCATTAAAGAACAGCAAGAATTAATAGACTAAGTTAGGAAAGGGGATTCTATCCAGACCAAGAGAAACAATTACTAGGATGGTTTTTGACAGTTCAAGACCTACTTGAAGCAGGTCTCACCGACGCTTTGTTTGAATTTGAGGATACCACAAGGAGAATGATGCACAGGTAATGGGGACTTTCTGCTGTGTCTAATTTGCTTACATACAGTCAGTACAGCCCAATGGCATTCACAATAACAGATGTTTGCTAATGCAGTATGAATATGACACTAAGTAAACTAGTAACAATGCTAAAATAATGAGAACTAAGAAGAGAAGTAACAGGGCTTTCTACAAATATTAAATGACATAACCAACTTCTTAGTGGACTCCTGAAAGGTTTTATTTTCGATCTATCCGCAGGTTCCATCACTGTCTTTCAGAAAGCCTACACTATGTTGATATCCCATGTCTTCATGTAGTTCTCACTGTTGATATGCCTTTTATCTCAGTTGAAGGCTTAACTTGTTCAGAAATCTGTTCTGATTAACATTAGCCTACAGAGTTATGCATACTCTTGCCAATTGTCACTCATTAAGAAATGGTTACTGATCAACCCACCTGTACGGTGTCAACGATCCCCACAAACATACTTCTTACTTCAGATATAGGCACCCACCCAACTAGCTCAGATACGCTCTGTGACTGAGGAACTGAGAAAAAGGTCCCAGGGGTCTGATGAGTTCAGAAGTGTTACCCCAACACTCTGTCAAACACTGCTTCCTGCTTTCAGATTAAAGATCATGTACTTCCCCCATTAACTTCCTTGTTATGATATAAGCAGAAATACAAAATGACGAAAAATACATTGAGGTTTTGTTACTTCAAAGACTTCTTTTCTACCCTTAGTTTTTATAACCTAAAATATTTTTAATGTACCACCTGTATGAAACTGTACTTCATGTAAGTAGTTAATTCCAACCTTAAATTATATCATTTCAATAAAGAGAAAAAAGTTACTAGTATTACTATAGCAAAAGAGTACCTATGGTATCTTTACCATATTCAACAACTTAAAAATCTAAAACTAAAATGTTTGTATTACTCACCAGGATGACCAAGATTATTTAATTCATCTAAAACAAAATAAGAGAAAATAAATTAAGTAATCTAAATGCCTACGACTAATCAAAGAAGTAGTTTTGAGCCAGTGAATCATGTTATGTTTTATCAATTTACAGCTTTTCAAAATAAATGAAGAAGCCATGCAAATACTGAATAGCAAAGAATATTAATTATTGCTGTGCTTATCATTTAGGACTTCTAAGCTATGATTATTTTCATGAAGTGACAAAAACTAGGCTCTTTCATAATTTATTCATAGTTTTAGATATTCCAGGCAAATAAAACCAGTAATCTCAAATGATCTTTTTTTAAGTAAACTTTTAATTTTAGAACATTTTAAGGTTTGCAGAACTACTGTGGAGGTAGTGCTGAGAGAGTTCCTATATACCCCACATCTGGTTTCTCTATTAACATCTTATGTTAGCATGGTGTATTTGTCACGTCTTATGCTAGAATAGTGTATTTGTCAAAACCAATGAACCATTAATGGTCTTTTTTGCTCAAGGGCTCCATTCAGGGTATCACACTACATTTGCTTGTGTCTCCTGAGGCTTGCATCTTCTTGGTTGTGACACTTGCTCAGGTGTTCCTTGTCTGTGATGACACTGACAGTTTTGAGGAGTAACTGTTAGGTATTTTGCAGAATGTCACTCAACAGATTTATCTGATGTTTTTCTCATGGTTAGACTCATAGTTTCTCAAGGTATAAGGTGTTTTTGGGAATAACAGTGGTTTGAGAATTAACCTGTACCCCCATGGGACATCTTATCATGGCCAACAGATGGGTAAAATAAGCAATGACATAGCCATCTATTTCTTTAAAGTTTTATGAAGATAAAAAATTAACATTAACAATAAATTAGAAATGTTATACTATTCATAAATTTTTTTATGTATAAACTTTATTCTTGTATGTGACATAAAATCAACTAAAGAAGGTCTGAATCAGCAGATGGATTATGTGTAATTTCTTTTGCCTTCAGTATTAGACTCAACTTATTCCCAGTTAGTTACTTAGGTCAGCAGCACCATACTTTCACCCCTCTTCAGCGAGGCTGTATCATACATTTGCAATACAGTTAGGTTCTTTTCTCATAGTCTGTATTCCATCTTGAGTCCCCCTCCTCTGACCTCCTAAACGATTGTTTAAAATTTGTATATATTAATCACTATCATACAGAATAGTTCCACTGTCCCCCCAAAAAATCCACCTATTCAATCCCCAACCCTCATCCTGATTGAATTCTTTTTCTTTCACACATAATAATTGTACATATTTATAGGATACATATGATATTTTGACACATGCATAAAATGTATAATGATCAAATCAGGGTACTTAGGATAACCATCAGCTCAGACACTTATTTCTTTGTGTGGGGAACATTTCACTTCTAGCTATTTTGAAAGACATGGTAAATTGTTAAGTATAGTCACCCTACTGTGCTATCAAACACTAGAACTTATTCCTTCTAACTACAGGTCTGTACCTATTAACCAAACTCTCTTCATCCACCCCAAGCCCTTCCCAGACTCAATCTACTCTCTACCTCCACGAGATCAACTTTTTTAGCTCTCATATATAAGTGAGAACATATGATATTTGTCTTTCTGTGTCTGGCTTATTTCACTTAACACAATGACTGTTCCATCCATGTTGCTGCAAATGACATAATTTCATTCCTTTTTTATGACTGAATAGTCTGATCAAGTATCTTTACCAAAATACATAAACTCAAATAGAGGACACTTATGCTCTATAGGTAGAATATATATATATATATATATATATGAAATAAAGGATACTGTTCATATGCAATTCTCAACTTTGTGGACTTTCATAGAAAATCTGGATCTAATTTTTTCATCTGAGACTTCTGGAGAAATGTCATAACTGGATTTTCATCTCTACGTGTTCTAAATAGTTATTTGAAAATTATTATTTAATAGTATGCTTGCTACTGCAAAAATTAGAATACTGCAGGTATAGAAGCAGCACAGCAAGGTGATAATTCACATGCATCACCCTGGAGCCAAACAGCAGTGCTAGCTTATATTTATTCTTAAAGGTTTGCAATGTTAGGAAGTTTTAAAAACCATGCAATTAGGCAAAAACGATTAAGAGAGGAAGAGGCGTTTGATTAGGATTTCTTCACATGGCTTCTTTCCCTCAAACAGGGTTAACAGATCATGGGATTAGAACTCCCTTACGAGACAGAATTCTTGTTTGCAACTATTTTAGAATGAAAACAGTAATTATAGTATTCCAAATTGATACCATAGAGACATGAAGGACAGGAAAATCAGAAAACATAAAATTTAACATTATTTCCTTACTTTACCCAAGTGGAGCCTAAAGTTACGTAACAAAGAGGCAGAAATTGAAAAAAATACTTTGCCATCCACAAACCTAATTTTGCAAAACAATGTGACATCACACTAAGGAAAGATGATCCAAGTTTTAATATTTACTCATTACAATTGAAGTACAATGCTTTGGCTAATTAAAACAAATTAAAAGTTTATGTTGAAATAGATTTTTAGTTCTCTTTACATATTATGGTAAAGGTGACATGATAGGTTAATCTACAGTCTTGTAGCTTCAAAAAAATCCTGATTAATTTTATATTGAAACAGAATATTTAATATTTGCTAAAACATATGTTAAACAATAAATCTCTCTTGAAACTTTTATAAAAACTAAATTTCATTTGAGAGCATCTAATCATGGCTAAAGGAGAGAAAAAATAATCTAAAACATATCCATGATCATATAGCCACCTATCTTTTTTACAAATTTTATGTAGATAAAAATTAACATTAACAATTAATTGCAAATGTTCACTACTCAAAAGACATAATGCAGGAACTTTGTTCTTATATGTAATATTAATAGAAAGTCAACTGAAGATTAGTTATTGTAATAGTGTGTCAATCATGTTTGTCTATTTATAAAACTTCAAAGATTAAAATACAATATTCTTCCATCAAAATCATTTCTTACAGCTAGTATTTTTTCCATCACTGCACTCAGTAAGCTAAGAGCACTCCACCAATCCCAAGAGCAACTAGCATGCAGGAGATCTGGTTTCAAACCAAAGAATTACACTACCTTCAGTGCACTCCACTGCCTCATTTGTTCTTCCTTGTTTCAGAAAAAACAAATTTGAATATATTGTAATTCATGATCTTAAGAAGGGCAGCCATACAGCAAATAGAGATTAATATCATAGAGCTATGTTGACAAACCAACACATGCATCAATACCTCCTACTATGAACAATAACTACAAATATATTAAGCTGAAATAGAATAAATTCCCAATTTATGCAGTTAATAATGGGGACTGCTGATTAATAATCTTTCTTTCCTTTATAGCTGTATGTTTGTTTTTAAAAATGTTTTATTAAAAATATTTTTCTTTTATTATTATTTATAATTCTACCTGCCAGCCTGAAGCAATCTGCCCACCTTAGCCTCCCAAGTAGCTAGGACCAGGTGCATGCCACTATGCCTAGCTAATTTATTTATATTAGAGACGGAGTCTCACCATGTTGCCCAGGCTCGTCTCAAACTCCTGGGCTCAACTGAACCATCCACCTTTGGCATCCAAAAGTAATTGGATTACAGGTGTGAGCCACTGGCCAAGTTGATTCCACTGAATCAAGTTTTTTGTAGCTAAAGCTTTAAAGAATACATATTTATCATATATGTTTAAAGTAAACTTTAACTAAAATGATCTAAATAAAATAGCTTTTTTTTTCCTGGTTCTTTTTGCTTTCTGTAAACCTAGATTATGATTTTAGTATGTATTCTTTCAAATTTCAATATAAACAATATAACTTCTAATACTTAACACATCAATAAATAGTATGGGGTAAAAAGTAGAATTTCCTTTGCTTAAATGTTGCAGTTTATATAGCTTATCTAATAGTCCACTTGTCAGAACGTCGAGGAATACTTCTTACCTATGATGATTTCTACCTTCTTGCTATCTTGACTCTCTCGATCATTATATACATGACACCAGTAGGTTCCTTGGTGTTCCAAATCCACATAAGGCACCTGTATCAATATTAGAACATGTAAACACTTCTTCAGTTTTAACAGCTTGGAGAAAGTCATTTTGTGTTTTAAAAATGCCCTTCAAAACATAACATCTCAGAAGGCTTTAGACGTTGTTATGTTAGCTACATTCATCAGGTTAAATACCAACAAGTAAATGATGCAATGATTTCAACAGTGCTGAGTTCCATGCAATACTATTTGACATTTTACATATAAGCCTGAGTCGAATTCCAGCACTTTAGCAGATATATGAGCTAATTAATATGAAATCATAAGGGACTTTAAATAAAAATATTGAAAACATTAAAACATTTGAAAGGATATGAGTTTTAATGTTCACCATATATTTCAGTTGTACCATTTGTTATACATGTTAACTCCCCCAAATGCCCCCAAAATCAGCTTCCTACCATGTATAGCTTTTTGGTCTCATGTGTTAATGGTAATTCATTTTTGAACCACTGGTAGTGAGGAATAGGGCTTCCAACAGCAACACACTGTAAAACCAATGTGCTGCCTGGCATCAGCTTTTGGGAAGTTGGTTCAACACAGATTTGCAACTTGGATTCAGAGACGCCATCAACACTTCCTTAAATTAAAAGAAAAAATAAAATCTCTAGGTTAAAAATAAAAATAAAATTTTCCTGTAATTAAAAAAATAGATGTGTCAAATTCCCCTTTCATTTGTTACAATCTTTAATAACATTTCCCAAACTATGTTTCAAAAAACTATAGCACTCACAGAAATATTAAGAGATATTTTGTGGACAAAAGAATGCTGTGGACAAATAAATTGAGAAAATTCTGAGTTAAACAAGGTTAAACATATTTCTTGATTGCAGGATTTCTCAAGGCTTTCAAAGTGTTAGTATGCATTGTGAATCAAGGAGAGCAATATAGTTCAAGTGTCTTCCAAATGTGTTTGGCTGCAGAATCTTTTTGATGGAGGCTAACAACTTATTAACATCTTGAGTGATATTGGCATTCAACATGGAAAGCTCTATGTTCTGTTCCTTGGCATACTGAAATAAGTTTTGTTACCCACACTGAATAAATATGGGTGGGTTATTACCAACATTTTAACCCCAGGCAGATATTGGAAATCATTTACTTAACACTCATTTATTACTCTTTAAGCTCCTTGAAGGCAAAAAGCTTGTCAATTTTATGCAATAACAAGTCTCCATTATGAAACTCAGTGTTTAACACATTATAGGTGATCAGCAATATTCGTTGAATATGATTCCATTTATAAATATATTATTACATGCACAGAAATAGTCTAGAAAGATATACACTGCTCTCTGAATCATTAGGATTATTTCTGCAGACTGCCCTACTCCCACACGGACATCTTACCAGGGCTTCAATATCCTGCTCTGGGTCATTCCAGTCCCTCCCACCCCATTCAAATGTCTACCATGTTTGGCCCCACCTAATGTCTTTAGAACTGAGTTGACAAGGAAGGGTAAACCAGCTGACTGTTTTACAAATCTTTAAAGGCACAGTGTGAGCATTAGGGTAACCAGTGGTCTCAGTTTGCCTAGGACAGAAAGGTTTCCCAGAATGCAGCACTTAAAAGTGCTAAGACTAGAAAGTCCTGGGCAAACCAGATGGGCGGTCACCCTAGCAGGCATGACCAATTAGATCTTCAAGGAACCCCAGCTACAAAGAGGTTCTGCCTCACTCACCAACTCCCTCTCTTGGGTCTTTCTCTAATGCTCTTGCAGAAGGCTAAGGAGGGGAGGAGAGCTAAAAGATCACCTGTGAAATGAGGGCCACCAAGCCTGTTTAAGGCTGAGGGCACAACAGAGGCCTGAGGGAAACTCTTGGAGGCCCAGGAGGCCCTCAGTGAATGCGGTGCCATTGCTTTTCAAGGCTGGCTAGCGGCAGGGCAGCTAGGAGTCTCAGACCCACCCCCCCTCCCCCCCCCGCCCCGACCTGAGACACAGAAGAAAGATAGGTGGGATTTGAAAACAAAAATGCCTCAGTGGTCCAATAAGCTGAGAGTCTGGATGTAAAATAGAGTGAGATCTCTTATAGTTGGCACTAGAGCTGTAAAATAGGGATTTCTAATATCTTCTTGATATGCCAATCTCAGTCCTGTCAAAGGGAAATCCTCATTCTACCCTCAATTCCATCAGCAGTAAACTGAATATATCTAATGCCCAGACCTAACGACTACAAATTGGATGGACTAATATGTCCATTGTAGTAGCCATTACAAGGGGTATGCCTAGTACCTGGCCATAAAAATATTAATTTCAATCTCTATGTTATATGTTAACATATAGTATGTTAATCCTATTTTTCTTTTATACTCAGTGTTCAGCATTGAATACATAGTTATGTGACTTATGCAGAAGAAAGAAAATGTAACCCCATTGGTGGGTGGCTGGGGTTGCGGGGCTAGGGAAGGGATAGCATTAGAACAAATATCTAATGTAGATGATGGGTTGGTGGGTGCAGCAAACCACTATGCCACATGTATACCTATGTAACAAACTGCACATTCTGCACATGTACCCCAGAACTTAAAATATAATTAAAAAAAAATTTCTAATGTTGAAATATTCTCATTTTTCTAAAATAAACCATGTTTACTTGTTAAAAAAAAA